TCAACCAATCGGTTGGTCTAGTTTTCAAAATAATGCTTAAAAAAATTTCTAACAAATTGACCTTTCTTTAAAAAGAAGATTAAAAACCAACAAAATCTTTGTTCGAACAGTTGATTTTAACCGGTCGTCAATTAAAATCGATCGTTTGAAATACTTTTAGGCAATTATTGCCACTATTATGAGGTATGGTTGTTTCATGGAGGAAGGCACAAAAGCGCATTTTTCATGCGTGAAGGTGTGTTGGCTCCGCAGGTTTAAAAGGAGAAGGGGAGGGTTGAGTGTTTCTTCCAATAGAGGTGACATCAACAAATAGTAACCCTAAGCCTCTATTTTCAAGAAACTTTGGATGGTGTTAAGGAGTTATAAGGTCCCACATTGAGCATCCTCCTTTGTGCTTCTTGCTCGTTGCTCCTCAAAGTCAAAAGCCAATGTGTTCAGAACCTTTATTTTTTGGCACTTCCTTGTCCAATGAGAACCACCACAGAAGAAACAATCATGCCTTGAATCATACAAAATAGAATTTTTCTTTTTTGCTTTCCTTTTTCCTTGAATTTGGTGAAATTTTGATGTTGATTGTCCCCTTCGTGGTTGCCATGATTATGCTCTTCCCCACCTTTGTTGTTGCCACCCTTCTTCTGCTTGAGCTTAAATAACTATTTTTCATTGGAATAATCAATTAGGCTTTCAGCAGTAGCAATGGTGGTGGCAAGATCCTGCACACCACGAAGCTGCAACTCTATCTTTGCCCAGATCTATAGCTCATCTATGAAGAAAATGAGAGAATCATATTCACAAACATGTAAAGGACTTCTAGCACAAGATTGGTGAAGTCCTTGACATGGTCTCAAATTCTCCTCAACAGTTTGAGCCAATGTTGGTAGCCATGTGCCTCCTCATCAGTATTTTTCAAGTAGACTTGCCTCTTTCGCTCATTTTTTAAGGCATCACGTATGTCAAAGATGTGCATTCCCATCCTTCTAAATTCTTGCCACCCTCGACACCAAAGCATGGCAGTATCTGTGAGGTAAAATGTTGCATTATTGATTTTAGCACCTTCCTCCAATATGTCAGGAACATCAAGATATTGCTCTAGCCTACTTCTCAAGCATTCCTAGTGTCGATAAAATTCTTGGGTCTTGGGATGTCAAATAGTAGGATTTCCATCACAGGTGCAGCTATTCTGTTAGGATCACCGCGTACTTCCTATAGTTGTTTCAACATTGCCTTCAACTTAGATGGCAATTTGTTGAGTTATTCTTAATGAGCCTCTCGCAAGTTACCTCCACTATAACCTCATCTTTAAGGACACGGATGTCTGCCCCATTGGAATCTTCTATTGTTGATAAGGCTTCAAGCATTTCTTTATGGACTTCAGCAAACTCTCTAGGCATTTCACCTGTTGATCAAGATTTTCTATGAGTGCATCCACGTCACCCTTGTCCTGCTCCAATCAAGTCAAGCATGCCCCCCCAAACTAGAAAGTATGTCCTTTGAATTAGATTGTGGCTTTGTTACTATCATGTCATGTTGCTCCTCCCAAACTCGAACATGTTGAGATGACCCTACATTAATGATCTCAAAACCAGCAACTTGATCCTTAACACTCTTTATCATGCCTAAACCAAAGCAACGTGCGGCCATAGCTCTTACAAAATATTAATTAAACCTTACTTATCACTCACACCACAATAGACTAATATTCACACCACAATAGACTAATAAGAATATAGGATTGTGCAAATGCAAGTGTGAATTTTTTGGGATAAAACTGTCACCAGGAAATAATTTTTATAAAACTGGTTCTCACTCTCAACTTGTATTCGAATGTGAGAGTTCTTTCATCTATTTATAGTCCAAGGAGACCCGGCCAAAGATATTCAAGAACACTATAAAGCATTTTGATCTTAGAAACCTCTAGAGAGGTACATTGTAATCATAACAATGCTAGAGTATTTTTAAGCAACACACTCCAAAATATGATTAAACACTTCTAAATCACACAATTTCACACTTCTCTAGCAATATCTAGAATATTCTAGAGAATCCTAAAATCTTCAACAACCACATGGGGGGAAATTTTGAAAAAAATAGTTTAAAATTTCTAACTTTGGGTAAAAAAGGATAAATTGCCATAATGTATGAACGATAAAAAAGAATATTTATTAAACGTAATTTAAATGAACAAATGGTTTCTAATATGATGGGTTATGAGAGGATTTATAGCGGTTATGGAATGGTGGAAAAAACATGAAAGAAAATATACTTGATTTCGTAGTCTCCTATGATATTGCAATAATAAACACATATTGAAGAATGGAGAAGAACATTTAGTTACCAAAAAAAAAAATGCAGGCATCAAATAAAAAATAGATCTAAAAAAAAATCTTATAACATTGTAAGGTGCTCTAGGAGAAAGTTTGACCTCACAACATAGGATAATAGCCAAAGATATATATCTTATTAGTATTAAGAAAATAATCTAAATAAATAGCAGGTTTAAGATAAGAGGAAATTTTAAAGTCAAAAAATTGATAATCATTCAAATAGTATGTTGAGAGGGGAAAATTGGACTTCTTTAGTTGAGTCAAACCTAATGTGGTATAAGATGGCTAGTTCCATTAAGAGCATAATTAGAGAAATTTTAAGAAGGCCAAGAAGCATAAGGATAAGATGGCTAGTTCCATTAAAAGGATGGTTAGAGAAACATTAAGAAAGTCAAGAAATATACTATACTCGAATAAGAATATTTGTTGATGGAGTGATAAAGTACAAAAGATTATTAAGAAAAATAAATCTATTTTAAAATGTGATAAAAATTGTTTATTATTGAGACTTATAATAATTATGAAAAATTTAAAAGTCTTATAAACAGAGTGATGAGTAAAGAGAAATTATAAAATTTGATAATTTATATACTATGCTTGGCACAAAGAAAGGAAAAAATGATGTATAGAATAGGGTAAGAGTTTAGATACTCGGGGATTTTGATCAAATTCAATGTATTAAAACTAAAGATAATAGGATTAAATTAAAGATGAAGTCAATACAAAAGGATAAAAATGTAACGTTGATAAATTGATGGAGAGATTAATGGAAAGTGACATTAGAAAAATAGCATTAATTTCAATGAATCAATTGGTTGCATACTAGAAAGATCCACTAAGAATGTAGTTTTTCTATTAAGCAACTAATGATAAATAATAGAAAAAAAAAAATCAAGCATAATTTTTTTTTACCGTTATAAAGCATTTGATCAAGCAGCATACCAATTAAATCAGTCTGCCTTAAAGCAAAAAACATGTGTGTCTAATATGTATTGGCATTATTAAATATATGTATGATAAAGTACTGACTTGCTTTAAAAGTATATATGGAATGCTCGAGAGTTTGCAATAATCGAACATTTACATTAAAAATTAACATGGAGTCGTAGCAAGATATCATGGTATATGTTTCATGAATATGATATAATTCTAATGGTGTGAAATTCACTAAATAAATAAAAAAGTATAAGAATGGAGAAAATGTTTATAGATTATAACCATATTTATAGATGATAACCATAAAATCAGTGAAACAAATTTTGAGTATATGATAAATACTTTTAGTGTGTGATGTTAGCAATTAATATGCGATATTATTGTAAGATAAAAGGTTATGTGGATGTGAAATATTCAAGTAACATTGACGTATTATATAACGAAAAACTTAATACACACACACACATACGCACGCATGCACTCGCATGCACATGGATATAATTCTAGAGTTAAGGATAGATGGTTAAAATGAAAAATTGTCTTAGGAGTTTTGTGTAATAAGAAGATAACATGGTGGCTTAAAGGTAAATTCATAAAACATCAATTAGTCTAATAATGTTGTATTAATCCGAAAATTCATTACAATAAAATAGCTATTATCTAATCTTAGTGCTGCAAAAAAAGAAAATGTTAAAAATGAAGGTGTGATAAAATTATGCAATAGATCTAGTAATGATTATATAAGAGGCAAGTATAGAGTAACATCTATTAAAGATGAGGCGATGGCTAAATTTAGGTGGATTGGAAATGAACAGTGAAACCAAAAAAAAAAATGCACTTGCTGAATAAGTTGAAATAATTAATGCCTGATGATTGGAAAGGAAGAGTTTAGGTTGCGTTGATAAAGATTAAAAATGATTTATAATATATAAGTTTAGCAGATCAAATACCACTGAATATTAACAAATGAAACAGGAAGTCATGATGCGACCCCAGATTGTTGAAGGCTAGTGATGATGATGAGAATATTTTAAGAGGGATAGCGGAGTATAAATTTGATGTTGATCCCAACTACATCAAATCAATCAATGAATCTAAAAATTTTCACTATTCTAAAAAATGTGTTCTGTGACTCCAAGCAATCAAATGAACAAAGGAATAAACTAAAAAACAGCTAAAATAATAGCCCTTTGTTCTTCAACATGGAACCATCATCATCACCCATCAGCATCAGTAGTGCCAGCGATAATTACGCTCTTCATTGCCGTGAAATAGAAATATCTTCCATGATAATATACCAAAAGTAACACATTTTCACAATTAGGGTTCCGTCCAGATCAAAATCCTGATAATTCATCTCTCATCATCCAACTAGCAAACAAATTGCAAAGAGAATGGACAAAATGACTCTATTGCGACACTAGATCATTCAAACAGAAAAAATTCTAACAGAAACCATGTCGACACTAGATGATTCAAACAGAAAAAATTCTAACAGAAACCATGTCTATCTATAGTAACCCAGCTCACAATATCTCTAGATGCAGTTAATCAAAAACCTAAAAACAAAGGCTGCCATACTTCATACCTCACCTAGTAGATTGTTAATCCCTAAAGGATTTCTCGGAAGCTGATATAACATACGGCTGCTATTTTACCAAGTGATTAAGTTCAATATGAAAGGACAAGAAGAAGACAAAGAGGGAAATGGTATGCAGATTGGATAGCATTAAGCTCTTACGGAATCGTGATATCTGCAGGAGCCATCCTCGTTGTTGTCCTCAGAGAACGTGGCATCGCAGCCAATCCTCTGGCATCGAACTGAACCTCCCTTCTCCATTGTCTTCTTCCTCCGGGTCGTCCTCTCCGAAGAACCGACTGCGTGTTGTATATATATATAATACTTAATATATAATATAAAATAATATTTTTTGAACATTGTTAACAATTTAAAATAAATTTATTAAATTTAATATATTTTGATAAAATTTTATATTAATTTTTTAAAAAATAAGTCGGCTCACAAGATAGTGAGCCAAGTCGATGTTGGCTTGAGCCTGACTTGTTAGGTCATTGAGTTTGGTTCACGGGCCATTTATCCGGTGGAGTTTGAGTGAGCTCATGAGTCGGTTTAACTTACTCACACCCCTAATTTATATTACTTTGTTTCACTGTCGTGGGATGCACATTTGTGGCAAATTTTATAGGATCATTCAAGCATATAAAAAAAACTTTAAAAACATTCATTGCAAGGAGTTAAATTATCCAGTTTATAATAATAATTTTCTCATTATTATTCTATAAATAAAAAATCTATCCACCTTAATGTTCTATGAAATAATGCGGACGCGCAGAAATTTACAGAACAACAAAAAAACACAAAAGATTTACAAGATTCGAAGTTCAATTGATTTGCTTACGTCTACTAATGTTGTGTTTGGGACAGCTTATTTGCAAGAGTGGAGTTTCCAAAACGTCGTTGTCTATTTGAAAAAAACGTTCCACGTTTAATAGTGGCAAAAGACACTATATGCCCTCCTTCCTGTGCCTAGGTTCCTCTCCGCGATCCACGAAATCCTCCCCTCCCTTTCTTCTGCTTTTGCGATCTGCAACATCCTCCCCTCCCTTTGGTATGTCGCCGCGATCCACGACATCCTCCCCTCCCGTTCGTCTGCCGCTGCGATCCACAACATCCTCCCCTCCCGTTGGTCTGCTTTAGCGTAGCTCACAGCAAGCGACATCAGCGCGACATCGAGGTCCTCTCCGCGGCTTCCTTCTTCTGCCCTAAAGTTCGCAGCAAGCAGAGACACCGTCGCCGACTCTGCACAGCGATCTGCGTCTCCCTCCAGCAATCGATCCTCGTATCTCTCCATCTCCAACAATCTTTCTCACAGGTAACCTTTGTTTTTTTTTCTCCTTGCTCCTCTGTCGCTCCTCTGCTCCGGTTTATACTTTTCGGTGGACACAATGATGAGCAGCAAGGTTTATGCAGGACATGGGCATTTTTGTCATTCATTCAGAATCAACCGTTGTCAAAAATCACAAATTAAACAGACATACAGATTATACGGATCAGCTGCTTATTACCAGATTATCAGGATAAACAACTTATCAGGATAATCTAGATAAGCTGCAGTTGCCCCAAACATACCCTAAGAGAGAGATTTCACTAGCACGAGATAGGAGAAAGAAATTACAGTTCTCACCATTCCACTCTAAAAAACCATTAGATCCCTTTTATAAATGATGATAAATGCATACAAGTAAATGAAGAGAAAAAACAAAATTACTTCTAATTAAATAAAAGTCACGAATACAACAATTTTTATCTCATTTCTTAATTCCAAATAAGTGAAAATGACTAAATAAGCTCCAAACTCAAAATTATCTGACTGATATTGTTGTCTACGCACCCCCACTCTCTAGATACATTAAGCATCTCATGTGCTTGGATGTTCACCAAACTCCTGCAATATGTGAACTTTTGGACTAATAGTACTTTCATGAACATGCATGATGGATTCCCCTTCGTATCTATCTTCTAAAAAAAATAGTCTTGTTCAATCAAGTCTCGAACAAAACGGTAGCTCGTATCATTATGCTTTGGCGCGAGCATGATGAAATGAATTTATGATTAAGAATAGTGCACTTTGAATATCACATCATTAGAAACTTCTGATCAACTTTCAAGTAATTTTATGTGTCTTGTGTCCATATTACTACCTTGATCCCCTCTATGACTATGATGTACTCAATCTTCTTAATAGACAAAGCAACTTGTAAGCAGGATTTCAGACTTCATAAATCCTATTTAACATTTACGGTGGCGGCATCAGGTACTCGACCGGCATTAACGGACTGCCCGCGGCGCGACGGACATTATAGCGGAGAGCGCGAGCGAGCGAGACCCTTTATGTTGGCGCGCAAGTTCTTCGCGAGTTTCGGTGCCTTTCAATCTTCCGCATAGAAACCCTAATTCGAGAGGACAGAAGATCGACATTGAAACGCCAATCCACGCATATCCAGGGTCCAAAGTGGGTCGTAGATTTTGGCTGCCGAGCTCTCGATGAGGCCTATAAGGCTCCCGGAACCGACCAGTGGATCGGCGGGAATGCCGGAAATCTTCGAAGGCGGGGTTAACGTGCGGTCGTGATTGGGAACGGTTTTGCCGGAGCTGAGAACCAGTGCATCGGTTTGATTCGTGCGCTCGGGCTCTTTGATAGTTTCACAATATATGTAAGTTCTTTTTCTCTTCTTGATGCCTTTCTCATCCATGACGATGTTTGGCTTTCCCTGGAAATTTTGATGTAATATGTATCAAGAAATTTCCTACTCTGTTTAGTTTTTTTTTTAGATTTATGGCTTGACATAGTAAAGGCAGTAGATGATGAGGACGGTTATGTTGATATCTATTCATCGGAGTTAGAAGAATTAGCAGGCTTTGAAGGTAGTGGAAATTCTTGATCATGAGTCTTATGAGTATCATAGACTAGAGAGGCATATTGAACCTTAATCAACTAGTGCCACAATTACATTTAATCTATTTATTATATCTTTTTGCTGCATAATACATGATGAGCCTAAGCCTGAAGCTAGAATCTGACTTTAGAAATATGTTTTAATTTGATGGGACATTTACATACATTCCGCCCAATTCCTATGTATTTACATATCTAGTACTTAAATTTAATTTTTACATTTATACTACCCAAAATTTTTATATCACATAAAAAATAACTCCATTTTAACTTTTAAAAAGGGAAATACACCTTTTGATGCATAGGTAAGGTGACATGTATGTAAAAATTGAAGTTTAGCCGTTAGATATGCAAATACATAGGAATTTTTGTGGTATGTATGTAAATCTTCCTTTAATGTATTATCCATGATAGGTTTTCACTTTGCCTGAGGTCGTAATTATTTTGCATGTTTGATGTTTAAGCTGGTTTTTGCTATTTCACCTACATCCAAAAAACTTCAGCTTGTCCCCTGTTTGCCTTCTTTATGTTTTTTTTTTCTTTTTTGCAACTTAAATTGAAATCCCTTGCTTGCTTTTTTTTCACCGTAGTTAGTCTTATATCAAGAACCATTTATTGTGCAGAATTTAGTTATACATCATCAGCACTTTTGATATGGTAAATGGTCTCATTTTTTAAGGTTTTCTTAGCTCTTAAACTTCTTATATATTTGGTTTTTGAAGTTATTGGTATTGTAATCTCTTAATTTGAATGAACTTTGCAGCATGCCGTTAGACCAAGAGGAGGATATAACGTGTGGCTAAGATGGCTTCCTTTATCCTTTCACAAAATCATAGATGCCTTAATCAAACAGTTGCTAGGAAACTCGAAATTTGCCCTGATGTCAAAAGGAAAAAGGATGTCTTATTTTCCCGCCCAAAATGGTGGAAGTATTGGTTTGTCAACAATTCTAGAAGCTGATGCAAGGCATATAGCCTCAATTGCTCGAGAAAATTTTGAGAAGTATGCAATTGGCTACCTTCTGTTTTTTCTTTTCAAGTTATTTGAAAGTCTATTATTTCTTTTTACTTTTTATTCATGAGCGAGCAATGCTTTTTCGGAAAAATCTTTTTAATTATGTGTAGAAAAAAGGACTTATATTGAACTTATTAGGAGACCATTTTGCTCAGTGGCATGGAACTAACCTTGTTATTTAGATAACATTAAAGTTTTTTTTGGTGTTTGCAGTCTCCAAATTGATTCAATGTCATAAAATTAGTGTTGCATGCCAAAAATGGTCTTTGAATCTCAATAGAGCTTGGGTTAGTGGGCTTGAGTACCCAATGTCTCGCTACACACACAATTAATAAAATAAATGTTCAATAAGCCATTATACAGATTTTGTCTTAGCAAGGCTTTGTGATGCTCAAGTTAATAATGACTGAGCTTAAAGGCGAATACAAATTAAAAATTAATTCAACATTGTTCCCATTTTGGAATAAAGTGCGATGACTCAAAATACGGATACTATTTTCTTTATTTGAGAGGAGTAACGAGGATTACCCTTGCTTTCCTTTGGAAGAGGCATTTGTAAAAGTGAGGGTAAGTGTAGTTCAGTGCTTAGCTTGACATTGATGGTAGATGTTGGGGACACCTCGTTTTTTATTTCCCCACTAGACAAAAATGACCACCATGGAAGATTATTGTGGTTCTCTGGTCAATCGTAGGGTTGTGAAGCGAGACACTTTTCCTTACGATTCTCATTGGATCATTTTGCCGTCAGATGTGCTGAAGTAATAGATAAAGCCCTTTGAATTTAAGATTCATGCTGCTGGAGATTAAAATCAGGTTGTACGATGGCTTTGTGATTGTTATTGTGTGTGATTTGAACTGATGTACCATATTTTGGTTGATGCTTTAAGACTAGTGTTTTATTTTATGGATTTGATCAAAAGGTTTTTATTCATCTCAAAGGGATCCAATGGTTGGGATTTACAAGTATCGTTGTGTTTTCCCCCTTACTGCACAAAGATTGTAGAAGCTTGTTAGGATATTTGAGATTAATTGATACCTTGTTTGTTATAAGGATGCATTGCCCCATTTTTTTGGCATTTCATGTAAATAAAATTAAAAAAAAAATAAAAATAAATAGCCTAGTCACTTCTCTTATTCTGATTTATTATTGTTTAGGGACTTAGTTTGTATCTTCTAAACCCACAACCACTCTTAGGATATTAACTTGGATATTATTTTTGGTTGAATGTATCATTGGAGAATGTTGCTTTAACCTGTTCTTGTGATTATAAAGCTCCTTTTTGTTCTTGAATTGGAAATAGCATCCATTTTTGCTAGTCTTGTTGATTCGGTCGGGCTTTTTGCTTGACCTGTTGGGTCCATTTTTTCACCAACTAGCAGAATTTGGCATAGGGCCAACTATTAAGTGGGTCAATAGTTTCATTATTTAGTCTTATGAGTTTGGATGAGCAAGCTATAATCTTGGACCTCAATATTTTTCTTTTGTGGTTCATGTTTTGTTGTTCGTAGAGTTATCAAGGCTTGTGATTCTGTTTTTTGCTAAAGTAAAGGTTGAAATAATTAGCATTAGCATTGGACTTGCCCCCAATAGTTTTCTTTTGTGGCTCATGCTCTATTGGTTGCAGAGCGAGCAAGACTCGTAATCCCATTTTTGTTGAAGGTTATTTGAAGTAGCAGTGAGCCTTGCACTATCTTGATTGTATATGTAAGCTCTGATTAGAGGGAGTTGTTCGTTGCCTATATAGGCACTAACTCACAACTCAACTATTGACAGTTGTGACTGTTGACCACTTTTGATGTCGTATGTGTGAGGTGTTCAGTTTCTCATAGTCCAAGACATCTATTCGGATTTTCTGGTACGTGTCTCGAGCACGGAATCAGGATCAACACCGATTCAGCCTTGCCGGGGAAAGCTCACTGTGAAATGAAGATGATTACGATCTAGGATATATTTAATACCCATTTTAATGTTTAGTGACCATATTCCGCCTATTTGGAGCCTTCGGCGGTTTGAACAAGCTATAAAATTGCTCTAACTGACACTTGGAATAGGTGTGGTCACACTTCCCCCTTAGAGTGACCACGCTTGAAACGGGTGTAACCATGCCATAAGTCGCTTGTGTCGTGCCACCCCTTCACCCTCGATATGACCGCGCCAGAGGGCGGCATGACCACGCTGCGAGACAGAGAGTTTGGGCATAATTACGCCGCTCTCAGGCGCAACCATGCCGGAACTTCACTCGTGCACTCATGAGCGTAGGCGTGACCACTCCAGATCTAAGGCGTGACCACGCCAGTTCGTCTTGTCCAGCGCGGCTCGTCCCAAAAATCCACCATGTGCGTTCCTTAATCACCGGATAACGGATTTTTAACCATATGCGTTCCTTAATTATGCCGCTCTCAGGCGCGACCATTCCGGAACTTCACTCGCGACACTCACGAGAGTAGGTGTGACCACTCCAGATCTCGGGCGTGACCACGCCAGTTTGTCTTGTCCGGCGTAGCTCGTCCCAAAAATCCACCATGTGTGTTTCTTAATCACCAGATAATTAATTTTTAACCTGGTTCTTTTGCCATTTGTGAAAGAAGACCAAAAAGTAGAGGAACTCTTGCCATTTTTTGATCAATGTCCATTGGAGAAGCGGTTATGCGGCCTCAATCCGACGGATGTTGTAGCAAACGCATTGCTAAGTAGGTGGGTCGTGCATCGAGCAAAAGGATCGCCATGTCAAGCCTGTGGAGAAGCTAAGGAATATTGGGAGAGAGTTGTGAGGGATTTTTAGGAGATTCTTGTGCGATTCTTCAAATTCTTATTTCTTTTTTTTCCCTATTATCTTCATTTGTTTCTTTCTTCTGATCGTTTTTTTTGCTGGTGTTCTCATTTTATGGAGGGAAATCAAGGAAACGTAAGGGATTCACTTAGAGCTTCGTTGGATTCTCCTTGAAAGGAGAGCTTCTTTATTCTTTGGAGGAGGAGCGAAGCAATCTTGGCCGGAGCGAGTCAGAGGTTGGAGCAAGCCAAGAGCACACTATTCCAACCATCACGAAGGTATTACTTTTTCAAAATCTTGCAATTTTCTTCTTAGTAAGCCACCTAGGTCTGGTGATAGAGAATCTAGGGCTAGGATTTTTGTGTTAGAGGGGACTGATAGGTTAGGGAGCTTTTTGCTAATTTACCCCCTATGAATCTGAGAGTTTTCCACTAAAACCTTATCACATTGTCCTAATTGGTCGGGAACTTAGCAACCCCGTGATTATTCGATGACTTCATCCCTTAGTGAATGAGTTGAAGCTACCATGATCTAGAGAACGAGAAAATTACTTTGATTCTCGTTCCCTAGATCGTGAAGGATATGTCTATGAAAGAAATCTTCATTTTCGCGAACATTCCTCTCTCACGGAAAAGCTCCTCTACACATTGTCGTATAATTAGAGGTAGGCCCTCCATTACATTTCGTAATAGACAATATCTACGACTTCATCATCACTATAGACCTCATCTGAGATTGCTAGGAATAGTTCGGCTCGCCACCGGAATGTGATTAAGTGAATTTGCATGTTGCATGTTTATTTCCTTAAAATTTTCATTTTAAAAATGATAAAGTTTGCATGCTTATTGGCTTGGTCACCTACTTTAGGCTGGTTCAACTGGCCGCCCGGTATTGTTCTATCCAATCGATTGTCCCTCATTGAATGCCTCGATTGGTAGACCGATGTTGGTCAACTTGGCTTACTGCTTTAGGCGGGTTCGACTTGTTGCTCAATATCGTTTGGTCCAGTCTGCTCGGCCAACCACTTTAGGCCGTTTCGGCCGGTCGCCCAATATCGTTCGACCCAATCGGTTGTCCTCGTTGGAAGCCCCAATCGATCGATCAGTGTCGGTCAACTTGGTCGATCGCTTTAGGCTGGTTCGACCGATATCGGTCAGCTCGGCCAACCACTTTAGGCCGGTCCGACAGACCATTTGGTACTGTTAGGTCTGATTGGTTGTCCCTCGTTGGATGTCTCGATCAGTTGACTGATATCAGTCTGCTCAGTCGATCGCTTTAGGCCGGTTTGACCGGCCGCTTCGTATCGTCCGACTGGATCGGTCGTCCCTCGTCAGATGATTTGATCGGTCGATCGATATCGGTCGGCCTGGCCATATCCTTTTGGTTGGCCCATCTGGATTGCTTTTGCACTTTGCATTTGATATGTTCATTGCATATTTGGCACACCTTGCTTGTCTCGCATATGTTTGTCACATTTGGCGCAATTACATCGAGTCTGCAAGTCATATGTCATGATATATGTTCTTGGGTGTGGTTTAGGATGCTACACATGTTTGCTTGAGCGACCGTAGTGTGCTAAACCACTTTAGGAGCGCAGTATGAACGTTCATACCTGTTAGAACATTCACACTATGCTCAATTGTTTAAGACGATATACATGTTCGCTTAAGTGACTCTAGCGTGTTAAACCTCCTTTAGGATGCAATATGAATTTTCACGAATGTTGGAACATTCATATTATATTCAATCACTTAGTGTGTCATACATGTTCGCTTGAGCGATCGTGACATGCCATCTCATATTTGCATCTTGTATACACATCACTCAATTCATTTGGATGACAAGTTGATTCGTTAGATGAGTGACCCGTTTGTTGGTCATAATACCTAAACAAGCATTTGCTCGCGAGGATAGCTCAATGAGCAATACGAGTTTTCATATTATGACCAATTTGTGTATGACTTGCTAAGACTCTAAGGATTCTAAAGTATGTCATTTGCATGTTACGAACCTGTTTTTTTTTGTCCATATTTTAAAACTATAAAACATATACTTTTCTATTATGTATTATCCATTTTACTTTAAAATTTATATAAGTTAGGTCATATCTGAGGCCTCACCTTTTAAAATGTCATCCCCTTCAGTGACATATTTTAGATCCATTAGATCTTTAGGATGGGGCTGGTTTGACGACCCTGTTAAAGTCATACAACTAAA